CTCACTGAATGGTGAAGCAGACTCAATGGGCTGAATAACCGCCTTCTCCTCCTGTGTCTGTAATTTTATACCATTGCAAGTGACTGAGGACAAAACAATTGTGTTTTCAAGAAAGAGATAGATAGTGGCTAAATGGATCAAGAGATACAGCGGGAGTGTGGGATAAGGGTATGGAGCTCGATGATATTGATACCTTGATGATATTGGGTGGTGGAGCAGGCTCAAGGGGTCGAATGGCCTACTGCTGCTCCTATCTTCTCTTCTACTATGCATCTCGTGGTCATTACCTGTATTGTGAGAGGGATGAGGGAGGTCGCTATGAATACACAGATGAATGTTGAAAACAACTTGATTCGAACAGGAGATGTTCCAGTGGAGCTTGAGGGATATTTACTGTTTATTGCAACTATTGTTGAGAGATTGAGGGAAGCAGCATGAATTAAAGATTTTGGAAATTTCTGATTGTGAATTCTGGCCCTTGTGAAATAGGAGTTCCATTTTACAAACACATAATAACTTAATGCCCTGACCCTTTCACATAATATACACTGAACTGAAACAAGCTATTCAGCCCAACTTGTCTGTGCTGGTTCTTAAGCTCCACATAAGCCTCCTCTGCCTTGACGTTCTCTCACACTAGCAGCATTTCCTTCTATTCCTTTTTCCTTCACATACTTATCTAATTTCCCTTTAACTACATCCGTGTTATCCACTTCATCCGCTCTATGTGACTCAAGGCAGGGCTCAAGACTGAAATTTAAATATTGTTGGATTCTAGGAGAGGCAAAATATATGGAAATCAGGCAGGAAAATGGGCTTGAGGTGAAAGAGTAGCTACGATCATATTGATTGATGGACCCTATGGTCTAATCTTGCCTCTGTTCCTTATGTTCTTATCCACATTCTCACCATGTTCTGGGTAAAGAAGTGTGAATTCCCTGTTAATTACCATCTTACATTTATGATGCTATATTTGGGCTCCAACAGCAGGAACATTTCAGAGAAACCGCCATCTCTTAAAAATTTTTAAATTGGCGAGTGGGTTTGTAATGTAATAGGAAATACTCAAGGCTTTTGATATAATTATATCTTCTATATTCAGGATTCTACTCTCTGCAGAGTAGCTGAAAGACCAGATGTGTTTGGATTTATAGATTAACTGTGCAAATTCTCTAATTCAATCTGGTTGTAGGATTTTACCATGAAACAGGCTTCTTAACCATGTCAATCTCAATTAGTGCTGTGGCAAGCTGCCACTGTTTCAGTGCACTGTATCACAAGCCCAGTTGGTATTTAGCACTAAGGAGATGCTGTATTGACAAAAGCAAAGAGAATTAGGGTTTTGATGGAGTGGGAACAGAGTTTCTTCCTGTGGGGGAACAGCATAAGTAGAAGTCACTCAGGCAAGACAATCATCAAGACATCAAACAGAGAATTCAGAAGAAACTTTTTCATTCAAAGAATGGAGTGATTGTGGAACTCAACCACAAGGATCGTTGAAGAGAATGGTACAGATGCATTTAGGAGGAAGCTGGACAATCACATGAAGAAGACGACACTGGAGGGTTATGTGGATAGATTTAGATGAGGTAAGATGGGAGAAAGCTGAAGTGGAGAAAAGAAAACACTAGAACAGACTAGAGTCAAATAATCTGTTTCTGAACCTTCTTTCCTGTGTAATTTTATGTGTGCAATCATTCACAAACATAAAATAGTAGAAGTTGATATTTGTTATGTGACCACAGAATTAGGTGGCAAGAGTTTTATCAAATGCTGCATAATAATTTATTTTGTGTCTTTAACACAATAGACTGTCCACACAGGCGTTTTTCAAAATTTGACACTGAGCTGCAGAAGGGCAGGAGACTGAAACGATCAAAGACTTAGTTTCGAAAGGGGAGTGAGAAATGGAGGTGAGGCTCAAGGGCAGAATTCCAGAGCTTAAGGCCTCAGCATTTGAAGGCATGATTGCCCTGTTTAATAAAAAAGGTATTACTATTTTTTAAAAATGTGGCTTATCAGTTTTTCTCCATTGCTACTTTTCCATTTAACCTCTGAACACAGATTCCACTTGTATCAGTTAACATTTTTAAGGACTATATCATAATTTAAAAATTACGACTGCTTCAAATGAGAGATAGACAGTAACACGTGGACAACAAAACTGAAAGAAAGCAATTACAAAACAATGCATTTTCACTTTCTTCAGGAGATATTTTGAACTAAACAAATGTGCTCATTCCCTGCTCTAGAATGTTTGGTATCAGAAACAAACGATTTCTGTACATTTAAGTAACAGAGAGAGACAAGCACATATCATAGATTGCTAAGCAGTTCTTCATAAAAAGGTTAAAATTAACATAATGCACTAAACTAACCAAATTACAGCCCTTTTGATGACGGTTCTGCAGCAATTATTTCACTGTCGACACAGGAGGTAGTTTCTCCTTAGGATCCCTGACATCGGGGTGTGTTATATGGTGCTGAAGGATGGAGAAACTGCAGCTGCTACTGCAGAGCTGAGAGACATCACTCTCTATAACCACATTAACCCGGAGAGGTGGAATACAGTGAAGCAGCTGCAATCCTACTTTGATTCAGCAAGACCATGCGAAAAAGACAAGGTTCCTTACATTTTGTATTGCATGTTTTATACAAATGATAAATTCATCACAGCTTTTTTCCTAGATTTCTTCTAATTTTACCAAATGGTATAATTGTATATACCTCTGTAGTTTGTGAAATTTTCCAGAATGTAGAAATTGCTACCACAAGGAGTGAGTGAAATGAATAGTGTAGATGCATTTAAGAAGACAAAAAACAAAATTGCTGGTTAAAAAATAACTCAGCAGGTCTGGCAGCATCTGTGGAGAGAAAGCAGAGTTAATGTTTTGGGTCCAATGACCCTTCCTCAGAACTTGCTGAGTTTTTTCTGCTGAGTTTTCCAGCAATTTTTGTTTTTGTTTCTGATTTCTAGCATCTTTTGGGTTATTCTGCATTTAAGGAGGAGGTGGATGAACACCAAGGAGAAAGGACGAGAGAGACATACTGACAAGTGAGATGAAGAAGGAATGGATAAAGATCCATGTGGAGCATAAACACCAGCATAGACCTGTTGGGCTGAATGGCTTGTTTGTTTGCGCAAAACATTACGTGAAACAAAAATTGTAGGGCTGAAGCTCAAGGTTCTCTCAAGGTTTCTATAGTGCAGTGGCCATCACATTCACTGAATATGCAAAACATTCCCTGTTCACAACCAGGCAGAATCATCAGGCTAGCTTGGGGCTCAGTTAGCTGGATGGCTGGTTTCCCAATACAGAGTGACACCAACAGTGTGGGATCAATTCCCACAGTATCTGTGGTTACCATAAAGGACTGCCCTTGCTTGAGGTTAAGTCACCACCAGCCGTCTCTCTATGGTGAGACAGTGGGACTATGGCAGCCTTACCTTTGTATCAGATTTGCAAATGACTCATAAAGACTGACAACATATCCCATTTCCTATTCAGACCCTGTGGCTACCCTTTAGTATCAGTCACTTTACCAGCCCAGTTAATACAATTGATAAGTTTTCTGTCTCTGCTCTGTCTTTAAATGTATGTAATTCATTAGCTTTAAAGCTCAGCAACATCCTGATGTGGTGAAAGGTGCTGTAGAAATGAAAGTCTTGATTTTCTTTCCTCTTTGATCCATATGCAGAAGCTGGCTTTCAATTTAAACAAAATCCCCATGGCCGTTCTGGAATCTAGTGATAATCTTAGTTCGTCCTCAAGGAAAAGTTGCAGAGACCATGAAACCCTTGCAATGAGCTAGGATTTGCAGGCAGGGAGGGAGTGAGAGAGCTGCAAAGTGCAAATATTATTTCTCCACCCTGTTTCTGAGCACATTTCTATGGGGTTCCAGAAGCCTAAATTTCTCTGTGTGACATAAAATGCAGAATTGGACCTCATGCTGACATTAAACATGTAATGTTACCACGTTAACCCCCCGTCATCGGGAAAGTTGCAAGAGCTGAAAGGTGACTGCAGTATCAAGAGCTGAGTGTTATCTGAAGACAACAGTGATGGATAGAGGATGGAGATTGACCCTCAGTGTGGGAGTGACCCCTGGGTGTGACAATGACACATGAACTATGGAGATTGACAGGGTGTAGAGCTGGATGAACGCAGCAGGCCAAGCAGCCGAAGGGTCTAGGCCTGAAACATCAGCCTTCTGCTCCTCTGATGCTGCTTGGCCTGCTGTGTTCATCCAGCTCTACACCTTTTTATCTCTTATTCTCCAGCATCTGCAGTTCCTACTATCTATGGAGATTGACTCCTGGATGACCTCTGCGGTAAATGGAGAATTACATCTGAGCATTGGAGTGACCCCTGGGGAATGCAGAGTGAGCCCTGAGTGTGGGAAGGACCCCCTGGATGTGTCAGAGTGACCACTGGCTGTGGGAGTGACCATTGGGGAATGGACAGTGACCATTTTGAAGGTGGAAAGTGACCTCTGGGTGTGAGAGTGACCACTGAGGGAGGTGAAATATGAGCCCCTTAGTGAGAAAGTGACCCCTGGTTGTGAGAATGACTACTGGCGGTGGTGGAGTATGATCCCCTTAGTGAGAGAGTGACCATTATGGAGGTGGAGAGTGACCCCTTAGTGAGAGAGTGACCCCCTTAGTGAGAGAGTGACCATTGTGGGGGTGAAGAGTGACC